AGGCAGCCCCTCCCCGGCCTTGCCGATGTGAGGCAGCGACCCCCAAGTACACGTGAGGAAATGAGGGTCCTAAGAAGTGAAGGGCCCTCCTCTCCATTCCTGTGTGTGTAGCAGTCAGTCCTCATTGGACAGTTTCTTTTCTTTCTTTTTTAAATATATTTTATTGATTTTTTAAAGAGAGGAAGGGAGAGAGATCGAGAGTTAGAAACATTGATGAGAGAGAAACATCAATCAGCTGCCTCCTGCACACCCCCTACTGGGGATGTGCCTGCAACCAAGGTACATGCCCTTGACCGGAATTGAACCTGGGACCTTTCAGTCCGCAGGCTGACACTCCATCCACCGAGCCAAACCAGCTAGGGCTGGTCAGTTTCTTTTGTTGTTGTTTTGTGGGTTTGTTTTGTTGGAAGGGAGAGGGAGAGTCGGAGAGAAATATCGATATGGGAGAGACACACCAATTGGTTGCCTCCTGCACGCACCCCAACCAAGGCCAGGGAACCTGCAACCGAGGTACATGCCCATAATGGAACCAGGGACCCTTCAGTCCGCTGGCTGAACTGGCGAGGGCATCCTTAGTCAATTTCATTTGCCTGCCCAACATGAAGACCACCTCGGAGTTCTCTGGGCAGCCACTGCCCACCAATTCGACTTGTCATCCTATCCGTGAAATTAAGTGGAAGGAAAGTCCCCCAGCTTCCCTCCCTCTCCACCCTCCCCCAGCACGGAAGAAGGATACTAGAGTGGGATGTCCTGGGTGACGAAGGCCTTCACCTGGGGAGGAACCAGAGCATTAGACCTCAACCCACTCCAGGTACCAAAGGGGAACCGAAGCCTAGTGACCCAAACCTAGAGTTCCTTCCCAACCGGATCACTGGGACCACGTTGCCCACCCCCAAAAGGCTCAGGGGAGACAAAACTGGGGGTCCCTTCCTTCCAACTCACCTCCTTCAGGCGATTCAGCTGTCATCCACCACAGGTCTGGAGGAGGACAACATGAGATAGGTCAGGAGCAACCTCACACCTGCCCCAACCATGACCCCAAGGCCACTGCACTGCCATCTCCCAGGTGGGACAGCCTGTGGGTTACCCCTAGAGCAGCAGTTCCCACGGTGTGGAGGTGGAGGCCTCTTGTAGGCAGAAGGGGGAACACTGTATAGATGGGGAAACTGAGGCCTGGGAATACCAAGGGAAAAGAGGGCAAGGCCAGAGACCAACCCCAAGGGCACTTACGGGTCTTTGGGACTCTGGCCTGCATGTCTGGCTGACTGTTGACTCACTCCCAGTGCCCAAGAGAAAGAAATTATCACCTACTCCTCTCAGGCAGTAGAGACCTGGGCCTCACTTTTGGCCCCTCGAGCCTCAGGGTGGGACAGAACAGAAGGAAACAGCTCAGAACTGCCCTGGGCACTCACCTGCCATCTGGTCCCTACCCTGCTACCAGCAGGGTTGGCCCTCCCTGCCACGTGGGGCCCAGCCCTACAGACCATCTGGTAGCTTCCCCAACGTGGGAGGATGGGAGGGCCCCTCCCTGCGCTCCCTAAAGGTATAGGGACACCTCCCAGCAGGATTCCAGACCCCAGGACCACCCACTGCAGTCCTCCCTCTTCCTCGTATCCCTCCATTTGTCAGAAAGCCAACTAAGGCCCAGAGAGGGGCTGAGATGATTCATGTCACACAGCAAGACAGGGACTCTGGTGGGGAATTTCCTGGCAGGGGTGTGGGGTGGGGAGGGCTGCTGCAGAGTAAGTATTGGTAATGAAGTTCCTAGGCCCCTTCTCTGGCTCCTGCATGGGGCGGGGGGCGGGGGCGGCGGCACCCATAAACCCTTCCCTCCCCCGGGCAAAGGGAGAGACCATCAGGAACTGGAGTGGGGGAAGAATTCCAGGAAAAAGTGTATCGATGGAGCTTGTCGGGGGGAGGTGGGCTCCAGAAGGCAGGTTTGGGGGAGTTACAGGCCAAGAGAAGGGCTAGGGGACAGGGTCAGTGTGTCTGGGACCCACCATATGGTAGGGAGTTGGGGAGGAGTTCGGATTTCTAGGCCGCAAGATCGAGTGTCTCGGGCTTCCACGGTAGGTGCTAGAGCGTCCGGAGGCTGCGGAGTGAGAGGGCTGGTCCCGACCCAATGGGGACTTGGGCGTCAGGAGAGTCCTGGGACCTGAACAGGGCGGTGGTTCCCGGGCTGGGGCGGCCCACGCACACACACGGGGGGCGGGGGCGGCGGCACCCAGAAACCCTTCCCTCCCCCGGGCAAAGGGAGAGACCATCAGGAACTGGAGTGGGGGAAGAATTCCAGGAAAAAGTGTATCCATGGAGCTTGTCGGGGGGGAGGTGGGCTCCAGAAGGCAGGTTTGGGGGAGTTACAGGCCAAGAGAAGGGCTAGGGGACAGGGTCAGTGTGTCTGGGACCCACCATATGGTAGGGAGTTGGGGAGAAGTTCAGATTTCTAGGCCGCAAGAGTGTCTCGGGTTTCCACGGTAGGTGCTAGGGCGTCCGGAGGCTGCGGAGTGAGAGGGATGGTCCCGACCCAATGGGGACTTGGGACTCGGGAGAGTCCTGGGACCTGAACGGGGCGGTGGTTCCCGGGCTGGGGGCCGCCGACGCACTCACCTCCACCCGGGCTTGGGCCAGGCC